TTTAAATCTAAGATACTCAGGGGAATAGGAATTTAATCCTCGTATTGTAACTGATCTATTCGAATAGGTTTTTACCAAGTTTTTTTTTTTGAATTCTTTGATATAAAAATATACAAGTGAATCTCGATATAAGAAAGGTGGCCAGGTCCATAGTAAAAATTTTCCCGAACTTTCTTATATCAAGAGTTTATTAATAACTTTCTTATATCGAGAGTTTAATTAGTCTTTCTTATATCAAGAGTCGCTTGTTTAAAGAATTTTAACTTGTTCTAATAAAAACGAAATAGTCTTTTTTTTTTTAGTGTATTTTCGTGACATGTATAGTCGAAGTGCGGATCACGTTACATGTGCTTCAGTCGTAACATAGAACAGTGACATCAACTTTCTCTATCTGTGATGAACCTTCCCGTACTGTCTTTTGATTATTTATCATTATGTGTTAAAAAAAACCCCCCGAGCCTCTAACAAGATAAGATTTTTTTAGCATGTAACGATAATAAATGTCAGTCAAAAAAGAAATATTTTTTACCGTCAGGTGCCAAAGAGTAATGATTGGATCCGAGTGGTGCTACTTGGGTTACCCTTGAGGTGGAAGTACATACGTACATATGTATGTAAAAGTTAGAGGAAATATGGCTGCATAGTAACACAAAGGACATCCGGAAAATGTATACCATTTTATTGCGCCATAATGCCATAGTGGCTAGATAAGATTCTCCGAGGACCCAGATCAGAATGCATCGTACTTGTTGATAGTAATGTTATCATTTTTACAGTGCGTAAAAAAAAACACATACATACATTTCTTGGTAAAAATACAAAACTTGTTGCAGATGATTGTGAAAGCTCAAATTTTTCACAATAATTAATATACATGATTCCGAGTAAATTAAACATTACAAAAAAAAAAAAAAAGATTTTTAAAGATACGATTCTTAACAAAATTGTTCTCAAATAGAATAGTTCAAATTGGAACAAGAGTTGGGGTTCAGCTTTCATTACGAGTACCCAATGAAACCGTGAAAAAGCACTAACTAATACAAATTATATAAAATACAATAAAAAAATATACAGTAACATAATTAGAATTCATCTTTTATATCTTTTATATCTTATCATTACATATAAAGTTATAAAAAAATTCGTTCACTTTATCGATTGCACGATGTAGTACTATGGCACATAATATTTTCCGGTGTGATTAGTCGATCAATGATACTGAATAAAGCAACATACAGTACCATTATTTATTATTGATAAAGTTAATAATTATTCAACTTTATTTTGAACGAAATACTTTTGAATGCGTGCATCTACATTGTATCACACATTCACTCTAGATATACACGAAATCCAATGTTGTACATTTTTGGCATGTCCCATCTAATGTCCTTTCCAAACATCCAAGCATATCCAAATTCATATCGATATAATCAATAAATTTAATTCTAAACATTGTTACTTATAAGATTGACATAGATTTTATCTTAATAAATTTTGAGTAATTTCAATTTATTAATTTTTATTTTTTTCGGTTTGATGTCCCGTGACAACACTGCGTTCATCTTATGAAAAACTACGATATCTTTCAAATACATCTCCTAATTTTCTAATTTTCCAAATGTGCTTTTTCCTTATACGCAATCTAACATCTGATAGTCAGGTGGCAAAAATAAGTATGAAATAATTTAGGCGAACAGTAAAAAGCATGATTTCAAAAATGAATGATTGTTCATACGCCATGTAATGTTGTGTTCGTTTAACTGATTACTATGCTGTAGTAAGTTAATAGATTTGGATAAATTGATAGAATCATGTAAATAACAGATAAAAGCGATAACGATAGTTGGTATATCCGGAAATATCACTTCAAATTTATCTATACGCCACCGTCTGTTCGGAGATCACTTAGATAACTTCCGGTTGACACATACAGCAATTGTTCAAGGAACACATGATAATTCTAATTCTGCATCTGCGACGCCAACTTTATTTACTACAATTCTATATATTATAGAGGAAATAAAGATTTCAATGTAGAAAATTCCATGTATGTGCGGTAAAAAAGAAAAGAAAATCATCCCGTTAAAAAAAAAACACTTTAGCCACATTGAGTTTAAGTCCGAAACCACCATATTTGAATTCTGCTTTGTATATTTTTAGCAATATGTTTGGCGTGTAATTGATCGTGATGACAATCTGGACTGAACCATAAGAACGCGGTATATACTGAATTTACTGAATTTAGACTAGTTTTGAGTCAAAGTGTATTTTTAACACCCAATCTGAACTTAAGCAGAACATATCAAATGCATAATGATGTTTTTTTTAGATTCCATCACGTGTTGTGGCAATGTAAGCCTTGATGTATGTTCTAATATCCCGGAGTACGATAAGAAATTCATTAAATGCATTACTATGTTGCTTTGTTTTAGCTAACTGTTGGAAATTAGGTAAGATATAAATGTAAGTATGAGACATTTTTGTGTAGCATGCTATTGTTTCAAAAACAAGTAATGATCTGCTTATGTTACTATAGGATCGAATCTACCTAACTTAACGTCAGACGGTTGGTTCAAAGTTTTAAGTTTTTCCGGAAAGGTAATCCAAAATAAGCTGCATGATGCAACAGTTTGTTTTCCGGTTCGCCAAAGGCACATTAATTAATTTTAGGTCTTTGTTGCACAAATTGTAAGAACAATTGCCGCAGACCGGATAAACTAAATTTGTTTTAATAAATAACGAGCTTATGAATGAAAAATTTTCTTATTTAAAGACAGTTCCTCGATCTTGGAGTCTTCTCACCAAGAAATTAATGATGACCTCTACTAAAATGCAAGACATTCAATTTGTATTTGATACTAAACATTCATTTTGTGAAGATATACTTAAAATTAAACCGCCTTATACCCTAACCTTGACAGTAGAGGAGTTAATTTTTCCCTGCCCTAATTCCCGCCGTGCATTGCAATATCAAAAAAACCCTGAGACTTGCAAACCACCTAGACCGCCTAATGCTTATATGATATTTAGAAAAAACTATAATGCCGAAATTAAATTAACAAAAGGAAACCTTGCACTAAAAGAAATATCTCGTTTAGCTTCCCAGAAATGGGATGTCCAAAACGCTGCTGTCAAACATTATTTCGTAAAGCTTGCTAAAGCAGCGAAAGAAAAACATATCGAAAGATACAAAAATTATAAATACGTTCCAAATAAAAATCGAATAAAGAAACCATCAAAAATAACACCGAATAATATCGAGGCCAAGACTGGCCAAACCTTGCCCTCGGATGGGGCTTTCACGGTATCATATTCTAATACGATAAATATGATAAATGAAGAAACAGAATTGTTTCAAATGTTCTACCTATATACGCATTTATATTAACGATAAAAACCCGTTGTGTTAGTAATATATTCCTTTAAGATATTAGATTCGTGTAATTAAGTTTATTGTATGTTTAACTTTATATTTACTATAAGACAGTTTTTTTCAACAAAGATATGTATTATCGTTGTGTCTCAAAAAAAAAAAAAAAAGGAAATGAGTAAAAAAGGAAATGAAAAAAAACCGAATACTGTATATCGATATTATAACGTTTTAAAAAAATAAAAGATTACCGAATAACGAGTTTTCGTAAATATTGCTTCGGTGTGTTTTATTACTATTTTGGTCATTTTCTAGAAAAATTACCATTCAGCATTTGTTTTCAAGAAAGATTATTCCATTTGTCAAATTAACAATTTGCTGCTCATATGATGAGAACCCCTTTTAAACGGTTGTTTCACCGACTTTATTCAATTCTAACTCCAAATCAGGCCGACCTAATCGTGACCCATCATTTCTTAAACACCAATTATATGATATATACGCATTTTTTATTAAGAAATCTTACTAAGAAATAGAATATAAGAGCATTATTGGATATTTAATAAGTGACACAGATTACAGGCAGAAATGAATAATCTTGAAATTTGGTTAAGGTTTGCGGAAATATACTACGTAGATTTGTGCAAAATTCTCATGCTTACAAATTAAGGTCATGCTATATTTTTATTTTTATGCTGTATTACAGTATTAAATGTTATTGGTTTGATAGCTTAGTTTAGCTATAACCAAGCTATAACTAAGCCATGGTTCAAGCTATCGACTACAATTAAAACTAAACCAAATAATAATTTTTTTATAACTTTAAGAAATTTTTAATTTTGGCTTAGGCTATAGCTTTAGGCTATTGTAACTAAAGCTAAAGCTAACTTTAAGTAAAGCCAATAACATCCTTACAAATTATGCTAGCAAATCAAAAGTAAAATTTAAAAGGTAAATCATGATTATTGTCACGAGCTAAAGTGGTATTTCCGAAATCGGACCATCGATTATAGCCGATCTTGAATCCGAGTTGCCGATCATAAAGATAGTTCGAGAAAGTTAATTATGCGTACGATCTACAAGGCTTAGAGATCGTCGAGAGAAGGTTCTAGCGATAGTGACTATTGGAGCAAGTGGAAGAAGGTTCAAGAAAGAATTAAGGTAGAGAGAAACTTGAAAACGAAAGGATTTACAGGATAGATAAAGGGAATAAAGAATATAGTGTAATTCCGGAAATCGGCGAGTCTGTCGCTAAACTAATCCAACTCTCGCGTAACCTACGGCGGCTAAGTCGAAATAGGCG